CCCAACACATTAAAATACGAGCATTTAAATTTAAAATATGAGCAGTTAAATCTAAAATATGATATTGAACGTTAAATTTTCATCACCATTCAGTTTACTCTTATTACAAAACCCAAAGTTTGAACTTAGTAGATTTGAACATAGCAAATACGAACATTATCATAATGCTTATTATTCCCGCGTTTGACCAAGTGATTTATTTTTAGCTCCGCGGTCATCGTAGATTATCTGCCGTCGCCTCGACAACCGATAAACAAAATAATTTAGTATCGCTATGACGGTGTTATATACCTGTTTGAATTATCGTTTTGCATTTCATGTTTAGATTTACCGCATCATTCCATTATTATTATTATTCTATTATATGTGGAACACATATTAATTTAAATTGTATTAGTGGTTAATGGCTTAATTTACACATATTTTACATACTTAATAAATGAAGCAAAAATAATGTAATATTCATAAGCTAACAACAAAACATAGTAAGTGTGATGCTAAACACCGTGTGTTCAGAAAAGTCTAAACAAGTCTGCAGGTGATTGGTGTCAATTGGCATTGTAACAGCCATGCTTTGAAATAAATGCTTTGTTTTCAGTCCTAAGTATCAATTGAATGTCTTTGATAAAATCATGCAATGTCGCGAACACCAATACGACGTCAATATACATAAGATACATGTCAGTTTTCGTAATTCACTGTTATCAGCAAATACCACTAGTTGAACCCAAAATGATGCCATACTCATAAGCTATCGACAGAAAAACTAAATGATATCAGAGATGACCATACAAAGTTAATTTCATATTATCCATATAGAGTGTTCAGAAACGTTTATCAGGCGATTCGCTAATTTTCACTTTGTTGCTGTTGTTGTCAGTGATATTGTGCCCATACTTAGAATAACTACCCATGAAGAGTACAAGTCTGTCAGAAATATCGAGTTACTGTCAAAAATAACAATATAAGATGTGCTTGTATTTCAATGATACCAATCAGTGTCTCTCATAGGATAGGTTGTGACACACACACACAACGCAAATGAGATATATCCTAGCAGTTTGAATATTAATCAGCAAGATACGACTATGACTGTATTTGGGTCAGTTTTTCTTCTTTATACGGCGAATCGTTATTACACATAGGATTGTGTTACAAATAGGGTTAGTTGTTATTACAAATTGGGTTGACTATTATCACATAGAGTTATACAGCTGCGAGGAAGTTGACATGGTAAATTGTAAATACAGTATAGATTTATAGGCACAACCTGTTAGCATTGGTCACAGTATCGACAAGTCCTGTCGGAAATTATAGTCAGAAATCGGAACCTGTCTTAATGGGCTCATTAAAGTCGGAATCGGACTACTGTATGTCTCTCAACTCTTGTGGCAAAAATTTGCAAACACCGCTGGTAATGCCACTGTTGAGATCGCCGCAGTTTCTTCCACAGTTCAAACACAAGTCGTGATTGTCATATTCATAACCAATTCACAAGAATCATAGTTTTGGAAAAGATATTTCGTGTAGACAGACAATTTTCCCAACTGCAATGGAAAATAGTTTTGAAGAAGATACACGAACCCGGACGTGCTTGTGACAGTAATACATAAAACTATGTAAACTTGTCGTTTTCTTATTTTAACGCAAATTGTCTCATGGGCCTCATGTCTTGTAATATTGTTGGGTTTGTTTCAATGATTATACAATTATCTAAAACTATTAGTTTGTCAAATGGTTTTGTGAAAACAGTCACATATTATTTTAACAGAAAAAAAAATGTTCCTTATTACTTTGAGTCAAGAATTAATTGAACTAATCTTGCTGCATTTTAGTCGAGTGAAAATGCATTTAGACCTGCGACTAATTGCAGAAATTCTTTTCATAATACTGGGCCACAAATAAAATGGAGCTATTAATACCTGTTTTATAGTTTTATAACTGCTGACAGAAAAAAAACCCTGGCCTTAAAACAAATACAAGAAATAACATATTTTTATTTAGCAACTTTCCCAAGCTTAAAATTTGGTAGATTTAGTATGTTGTTTAGGGGGTATTTGTGACCTGTTACCGTAAAATGACTTTGTTGCAATTAGTGGTAGTATAGAAGCGTGTCGCTAAATTCACTGACTACAGTCCACATTGATGCAATAATATTATTTGAACTGTATGATTGAGAACTATATTCAAAATTGTTTGTAGGCTTAGGAGGTGTTTTGACGCATCCGCAGCTGTATGGATATAATTAGATATTGAAACTCACTGCCAACGTTTGACCACAATCGGGCACAACTTCACGAAAATGGCCTTATAATTTTTTCTAGAATTCAATGGAACTCCACAGAAATTTATATTAAATTAATAAATTATTTTGCTTTATTTTTTATCGTATATTACTACAGAAATAATGGTAACCATGGAATATATACAGTCTTATAAATTGTTTATCAATAGAATCCTGTACTATTGTAATAGGATATATGTCCACATATGAAAAAATCAAATAAAAAAATTGATCTATACATATATGGAAAAATATATATACCAATATTTTATTAAACTATTTAGAATTGTATACAATATTTATATTTATTCTACATATTTTTTCTATAATGCTATGCAAATTCTGTTTGTTGTTGTTTCTTGTATGAGACATTTAATCTTTCTTCTCCAGTAAGAGCACATGTAATGTGATTTTTGTTGGTATATAGAACAATCAATATTTGTTTGTATTCAAATACTACTCAATGTCATTTAAATTCAACACAATATCCAAAGATTGCAATGATTAATCAATATAATTATAATATAGACTCAGCGCATCCAATACTGTACAACGATGCTTTACATTGCTAGGTGCGTTTACACAAGAATTTCCTCTTGTAAAACGATCTTTAAAGACACATGAGCACTGTATTCGTTGTTCACGGGCGTATGAATGAAAGTGCTGGTCCGCAAACCAGATAAACCATTGAATTGAATGGTAGCTCAACAGTTGTTAGATAAGTATAGAATTTTGGTGAAGTTAATCACATAACTACTGTGAATACATATTCATCCCCGCAAATTAAAATGTTGTAACTGGTGCAAAATTGTCACTGGTCAGAAACTTAGAAGAGACTCTTTGTATTTGCCATTTTGTAAAGGAGCGATTACTTTGTAATATTATCCTCAATAGTGATGTCTTAATATATGATGAAAACGTATATTGATTTGTAGTGAGGATTTTAATGAAACAGATCGAACGTATGTCGTAATTGCATATAGGTATATTCTTGGAGGGAAGTTTTTGTTAATATTAATATTTATATCAAAGACTTTGTACAATTTGAAGCCCCTTTTTGTCAGGTAAGAAAGTATGGGGATGACTAATGTAACTAATGGCGTAAAAGCTGGATTTCCAATGACATAGATTCAATACATTGGCATCACAATATGCAATCACCAGTCTACCTATTTACGTGCAATATACGCCTCTATAGTACTTCACAAAACAAGTACTCAAATGGCATTTTTATGCCAAGACATCGATATATAGCGCCCCCAACGTTACCAAATCTGTAGTTGTTTAAACATGCATTGTAATTACGTGTGTTTTCTAGGATAAGAGCAATTCTATTATCAAAGTAATAACACCAAGTAGTTGGTGGTTTTCATTCTATCCAATACATGTAAATCTATATTACCGGTAGGGCAAATCAAAAAATATCATTCACACATAAATTGATAAATAATATATTTGCCTGCTAGACTGTCTTGAGTTACACTTACATAAGTTCAATATTATAAGACCGAATTGAAAATTAAATTTATACTTTAATATTTTATTTTCATTATTCTCATATTACAATTGAAAAATATATATTTTGCTTTAATATCCAGGGGCACTTCTGTCAAAATAACAAGGTTGTGGCTTTTGCTTTTTCGGTATGTCACTCAAAAATCCCACCATGTGTCTCTGGGCACATCACAGCCTATGGTTACAGGCGTTTTAGCGTAAAATAAAATGTCTTAATTACGACCTAGTTATTATAATTGTATTTGCCCTGTTTCTGTATTAAGCATCACCTAGACACTTACTGTGAAACAAACATGACAGCCTAATGATAATGTGTAAATTAGAATGCATCTATTCATTGCAGTATCAGTCAACGTTAAACAACATGCCGTGTTGTTATACAAAATATATATTTTTAGGAAATTGGCCAAATATTTTGAAATATTTTGTCTGTTGTGGTGGTACAACGATAAAAGATTATTTCATTTTGTGTTACGACATATATTATATATGTCAGCACACTGTGATTTCAATGGCAGTTGTATCCAAATAGTTATTAACGAGCAAAGTATGCAAGGCGTGATTTGAAACAACTTCAACTTGAGTTTGAATTGTAAATTGAAGGGAATGAATTCATGGAGTTAACATCACCATGGCATTAAGCAAGAAACAAAGTCACAATTGTATAATAATACCAACCATATAGTGCGTAGATCGTGTGATTGGTCAAAAAGTCGCGACCCCTAAAATTCGCCCGTATAACATTGTACAGTTTCGCTCTGAAGGCTCTTTAATTTTGATACCGTTTATATTCAACGTGAGCGTACAGTACGCATACAGTATGTTGAATTTTAAGATGCTTATGATCTGGTTTTTTTTATTAATTTGACCATTTTTTCATTTCCCGAAATAAGTGTGCAGTCGTTCATTTTCAGACTATAAATTACGTCATTTTTATACTGTACATATACTGTACTATGCAGTATTATATTTGTTTCCTCTGTCATTCGTACGGGTCCTATCGAAAAACCTTTAATATGCTGAAACACTTGTCTGAAAAATTGTACTTTATAATTTAAAGATATTTTACATATTTTATGAAATGAAATTGTACGTGTTGTTATATTTGGGTCTATGTGTATCTACAACATCGTCCATAGAGGGCTACTGACTGTGTTGGTTTTTGATAGCGCCCTCAAGCGCAAATGGAAGGTGGCGTGGAACGGGATCTGGGGAACTGTGTTGGTGCATACGATTTGTATACGCAGTGAAATCTGGAACTGGGCTGAGACTGACCCACCGAGAGAGAAATTCGGTATGTACATGCACATGAATGATATTGTCTTACATGGTGAAAATTATCGTTACTAGTTGTAATTAGGTTCATTTAACATCGTGCAAATATTGTGCATTGAAATAATCGAAAGTCACATTTTAGATTCCTTGAGTTACCTGGAGGGAGTAATGGGAAGAGGGTGTGTACATATAATCTTTTCCTGTCATGTACTATAATCACGACAAATTATGTTGCGTCAAATGCACACTCTTCAATTCATAGACCAGCTGTTTGACCTCTTTGACCTGCTTCCTGTGTTTATGTTATTTATTAATAGAATAACTAAATTGCCAGCTTAGGGGCGCTTTATGAAATTATCGCAAAAGAGCCATACTAAAGTTCAAAGATCCCAATAAAAACACTGCACTAGTTGCTATGGCCACAAAATAATGACTTATAACATTTTCCGAGAAAAAAATATGAATTTGAGATATGATAAGTCGTTATCTATAAAAGTAAATAATACAATACAAAATTGCTTTGAAAGCTTTCATAACATGCTTTCAGAAATATTTTTCATAAAATGATAGAACCACCAGGCCCATAGCCAGTACTTTTGAATAGGGGGTTCGAAAACAACACTAATATGTTTGACGTAAAAAGTGTGAATTTTAAAATATTCAAAAAGTGTCTTTGAGCTCTGTTACAGACATTTTTATATTCTCGGTTTTAAATTCAATTGGTTTACTTTGTGTTACGTTGATAAGTTATTTCACATAACATCTTTGTACTATTTTTGGGCCATTCCCCCACCCACAGACAAACACACTCACACCCTAGATCCACTACGGCAAAATGTTGTACACAAAAAAGACAAGACTGTACGTATCTTAGCATTATTTTCTAATCATTTTAAGATAGAATGCTACTCACGAGTTTTTTCGCTCTTTGCAGATGTTAGCGCACATAAAAATGATACGATTTTAGGTCGAAATCTGTCTACAGTTATTCATTTTAGTATTAGTCAATTTAGTATTATGTAATTTTATTTCTGTACAGGA